AAAAGCGGAAGGAGGAATGACGGAAATAGAGTGACTTTTGCAAATTAACAACTCATTTTCGCAGTGTAATACGACAGTAGCAATGAGGAATTTTGAAAAACTCACAAATTTGTGTTGAGTTTTGAGAAATGCCAGAAATCTCGTCAAGAGAATATCCTAATCACAAAAGAAAAAAAATTTTTGCAAATTTTAGGTTCTCAGTTAACAAATTCCTTCTGATTTAGAATGGATATTAAGTAAAAACAACAGGTCACGCATCGCCACGTGGTCCAGCTGCAGCACCGCCTGCGCCACTGTCCTGGCTTTTCTTCATTCCCGACACTATATCGTCAATACGCAGCAGCATCACCGATGTTTCGATTGCCGTTTTCAGAACTTGCAAGCGCACCGAAAGTGGATCCCAAATGCCCAGCTGATTCATGTCGGCCTGAACAAAATCCGCTGTGTGACAGTGCAACTGATCATATTAATGATGATAAAAAAATAATATTAATGATGTTAGTGGCAAGAAAAAAAAAAAAAAATGCGGGACTGACCAGCTGGCCGGTGCATCCATCGATTCCCCAGGTCCAATTATTGGCCGACTGAGCATGCTTTGCTCGCAGAGCCGTTAGCTGTCGAATGGTGGAGCCACCGCAGTTCTGCACCAGCGTTCTTGGGATCACTTCCAATGCATGGGCTACTGCTTTGTACGGCCACTGGCGCACTCCCTCAATCGATTTCCCTTTCTCGTTGACGGCCTAAACAGATAATTGTTCCGAGGGGTTTTCCCGAAACTGGGGAACACAGGGCAGTGACAAGTAAAGCTGCCCTAGCACTCAAAGTCAGGGAAAACCAAATTCTCTAAAATTCATTCATTCGTTTCGACAGTAAATCGATACTGGCAGATGCCAGGGAGTTAAAACTATCATTAACTTGCTTCTAAGTAACGCAAAGAAGGAGCCTCAAAAGCCTTGCCAACGGGGTAACTTATGTTGGTAGGCGTTTCTGCTCCCCAAATAAATGAATAAACATGGCACTGTGATTTCTTCCAG